TACATTTTAAAATGTTGTTAAATAACTAAGGGCTATAGCCAACAAATGTTTCACAAAGTGAAATAGAGTGAGCATGATGAACATAAATTTAAGTAATGTATATTAAAGAGAGCCCCCCTCCATCACTTCACTTGGAGTTGAACAAAGAGACTTTCCACTGAGGTGGGAAGTTGCTAAACCCCTACCCAAGCTACAACCAACACCTAAATCATATCTGAGTAAAGATCATATGTGATCAGATTCTCCTGCTAATATTTCAAGAAAGGAGTTGGATCTAGAATTAAGATCTTCTCTGTATTATCTCAGCTATTCCTGTATGGATAGAAGACATAAGTAGACTCTGTGAGAAGGACCTAACTAAGAGGCCAATCTCTTGACACAGTTTACAAGCCCCCTAAAGGTTATGGTAGAGTCTGCCTGGAAAATGATAAATATGATACACAATCCTTCCATTCCTGAGCTCTGATAATAATTATTATCATGTGCTGTCAACTCTATTCACACTTATGGTGGCCTCTTGCAAGGTTTCCTATGTAGAGAATAATCAGAAGTTATTTATCATCCCTTTCTTCTGGCGTCATCCTAGGAGGGTACGCTTTTGCCCAAGGCTACACATGCTGGATCCATTCACAAGAGACACTGTGGGAAATCCAACTCCCAACCTCTTCGTCTACAGCCAAGTACATTAACCACTGAGCTATCTAGCCCTGAAACAAAAAGGCACAGCAGGCATGACATCTTCATCCTTCATGGGCCACCTATTCCTCAAATGGGAATTAATCCTCCTGATGCTACAGCTCGTTTTATTCTTTATTCTTTATTTATTTATTAGATTTATACCCCGCACCATCTGGCAACCAAGCCACTCTGGGCAGCTAACAACACGAAGACAAACAACACAATATTAAAACACAATAAGAATAAAATAATATAAACATCCATCATTTATTTATTTTTATTTATTTATTCCATTTATACCCTGCCTATCTGGTCATTGCGGCCACTCTAGGTGGCTTACAACACAAAATATAAAACAAATATATATATAAAATAGTTTACACAATTGGAAAAATTTTCTACAAAATGGAAAGAAAGACAAAATAAATCATAACAGAAAAGGAGGGGAAGAAAATTAAGAATTAACTGGGGGGGATACAATAAGATACAATAACTAGTAGGATAAATTAAAACAGATGGCTATAAAGATGCTAGAAAGGATGATGAAATGATGGCAAAAAGGATGATAGAAGGGAAGCAGAGATAACAGCAACTTAATGCTCAGGGAAAGCATGACGGACAAGCCAAGTTTTCAATGCTCATTTAAACCCGTCCAATGAGGGTGCCGGGTGTATCTCCCTGGACAGATTATTCCACAGGTGGGGGGCAACCACTGAGAAGACCCAACTTCTTGTTCTTTTCCTCTGGGACTCCTTCAGGGTCAAGGCCCTCAACCGCCCTGCCTGTGAAGAAAGGGTATTACAAAGAGATCTGACTGGGAGCAGGCATTCTGCTAGGTACCAAGGTCCTAAACCATTTAGAGGTTTAAATGTTATCATAATAACCTTGAGGTCAATGCAGAAATGAACCAGTAGCCAATGAAGGGCGTCCAGAATGGGGGAGATGTGCTGAAATTTCTTCAAGCCGGTTATTAATCTGGCCGCCAAATTCTGACCGAGTTGTAGTCTCCACATCAACCTCAAGGGTAGCCCTACGTAGAGAGCACTGCAGTAGTCTATTCTTGAGATTATGAGAAATGAATAATTGCTACTTATAGGTGAGAAATAAAAAACAAATGAACACAACAAGACTAAAAGGAATTGACAGAAGAGTATCTTAAACATAACATTTCAGTGAGAGCTTTTTTTATTTCCTTGTTTCTCAAGCTGTAGATTACTGGATTCATTAGAGGAGGAACCATGGAATATAATATAGTCGTTGCCAAATCAAGATATAATGGAGAATTAGTGGAGGGCTTGATATAAACAGAACATACTGTAAACACAAATATGGAAACTACAAGGAGGTGGGGAAGGCAAGTTGAGAAAGCTTTTTGCCTTCCATGCATGGAGGGGATTTTCAGCACGGCAGTGAAAATATGCATATAAGTCACAAGGATGAAAAGAAAACAGCCTCCTGCAAGCACAGCACCTAACAAAATAAGCCCAACCTCAATTAGGTACAAATCAGAGCAGACAAGTTTCATTAATTGTGGGATTTCACAGAAAAATTGATTGACAATGTTGGAGCAAAAAGGAGCTGCAAAGGTTCCACCAGCGTGTAAGACTCCATGAAGAAAGCCACTGGTCCAAATAGTAGCAGTTATTCTAAGGCAGACTTTCTTGTTCATCAACATCTCATAATGTAAAGGATTGCAAATAGCCACATACCGATCGTATGCCATAACTGTGAGAAAAAAGAAATCAGATGTTGCAAAGAAAACATAAAAAAGCACTTGAGCCACACATCCAGAATATGAAATGTATCTAATATCCATAAGGGAATTTGCCATGGATTTGGGGAAAATGACTGAAACCTGCCCCACATCTTGTATGGCCAAATTCATCAGAAAGAAGTACATGGGATTATGTAAATGGCGGTTGGTAACTACTGCAGAGATGATGAGAAGATTTCCTCCAACTGCTACCAGATAATAAATAAGGAAGACAGTGAAAAGTGAAACCTGCATCTCACAATCCTTTGAGAATCCCAAGAGAAGGAATTGTGTGAGAGAAGACAGATTTTTTAAGTTTTGTTCCTGAAATTGCATTTTGCCTGCCTGTGGAAGGAAGCAGAAGGACACAAGTTAAAAAGAGTAGCCATATTACTTACAATTCTTAGTTGTTTTGTTACACTTGTGGTGTCGTCTTTTGTTATTTATCCATGATAATAAACTGATTTCATCCAATGCTATGATGAAATTAGTGATCAGGAGATATTAATTTACCACTGCCCCGACGTGAACAATAGTTCCAATGTGTGACCTGGCAATATAGTTTTGTATACTGTACAATACTGTTTTGTAGAATAGATCCTCAGGAGTTCTCTTTTTAAATCGTCATCTGCAAATATAGGTATATCTTCCCAATAATTTACTAACTGATAAGAAACCCGATCACATCACCTCTGTTTCATTGTTTGTCAACAAATTCTGTGGATGAGTCCTGGGAACATTTTCTTACAGTTCTTCACGTGATATTTAAATTGTTATCTACACTGACAAGACACTTTATTCCCTCATAATCACACTGATGGCAGAAGTCACACAGAACTAGACTTAGACAAGAACTAGACAGGGGAAGTTGTTTTCATCAATATCAAATATTCGGAAGATATACCTATATTTGCAGATGACAATTTAAAAAGATAACTCCTGAGGATCTATTCCACAAAACAGTGAACAGTACTTTCTACTGTTTAAGAAGAAAAATAAATAAGAAGTCTAAACTATATAGCTCCTGAAACTCTGACAACTGCATGAGAAGAAATTTTGACAAAGATTGATGAATTAATCCAGTCTTGCTTCTTACCAACAATGCTTCTTCAGAGTGTATAATATGCTAGATGACTGCCCAGAAATTGAAGCTGAATCCAAGGAAGTTGGATACTCTTTGATTTCCTGTTTTAGAAGAGAGGGTGACCTGTTCTGGATGGAGTTACAACCTCCGCAAAGGAGCAGATGTGTAGTATGGGGATACCCCTGAGTCCATTTCTCTTCCAAGGCTCATCGGAGGTCAGGTTGGACCTGACTAAGGCACTTGACATGGGACTGTCCTTGAAAGTGACATAGATGCTGCAGCAAACGTGGTATGTAACAGCTTGACTGCTTGCAGGAATAGCTTTCAGAGGCCATAGATGCTGATTCTGAAAGATCAGAAACAGTGTTCCATCCAATGCAAATCCCACCGAAGTATCAGCTTCCCCCTTGCCACTGGAGAGGTAAAAGAAATGTGGGGGCAATAGTAATATTAGCTGAACGCATTAAAATATTTATATATCACCTTTCATGGCTCTATGAAAGTGACCTATAGAAAGAGTTCATGATAAACAGTTGAGACTTTACTGTCTGTTCCATCCAACTATGAGGTCATAGACAGACACATGAGACAGAACAAGGTCTTCACAGTACTGTAGTGACTTTGGAACCTCCTGCTAGTGGACGCCCATGGCACCCTACCATATCTGTTTTCAGGAGCTTTGGGTTTCAGGCTGCATCTAAGAGTACTAGTTAGTTCTTAAATCTGCTGTTGTGTCTTTTAAATCTCTACTGCTATCTGTTTTCATTTGTTTCATTCATTTAATACTTGTTTTGTGTTTTGGGAATACTTTAGTTTAATGACTGAATTTTCCATTGTGGATTGTAATTATGTTTTATTTTAGTTTACTTGTATTTTGCTTTGGAATACATACCTTTGTACAGAAGCTGAATATAGATAATACACTGAACTAAATTGAATGCAGAATTAGAGGTGGGCATGAACTGAACTACTGTACAAACCAGAAAACCTAACAAATCGGGCCGGGCCATCGTTTGGTTCACCATCCTGTTTGGGGATCCCGTTTTGCCAAAGCAAAACAAAGCACTGAACTTTTTTCTCCTCGGCGATTCATTTTGATTTGGCAAAATGGATGCCCACCTGTCCCCTTCCCGTTGCATCCATTGCCTCTCTACCTGGTCCTGCCACTGCTGCCGCCATCATTGGAGACAGGCTTCCCTTCCAGGAACTGAGCCTGCTAGCTCTTCACATGTGCCCCCTGCCCAGCTGATCAGGGCAATAAGCTGGGTGTCAGACGCATGTGCAGAGGCAGCACCTGGGCTCATTGCTGGGAAACCAGTTGCTACCTTCAGCATCTACGTCCACCTCCCAGCTGATCTGGGCAATCAGCCTTGGGGTCAGGTACATGCACAGATGGCAGCACCTGGGATTCTGGAAAGGAAGCTGTGCCATTGGGGTCATGGCACTGGTGGCAGGAGTAGTGGCGTAGCAGCAGCGGTGGTGTGGCAACAAAGCAGTGGCGGTACAACAAGAGCAGATGGGCCACCCACCTGGCATCAACTGAAAAACCAGCCACAAATTGGTTCAGTTTTTCAGTTGGTTCATGGCTAACCATGAACTGCAAACCATTATGAATCACTATTTTTCAGGTTTGTGCCCATCTCTACCCAGGACTCTATGAACTACCTTAAAAAGAAGTTTAATTGAAACTAATGGTACTCCTGAATTATGCATGCAGTGAAATACTAAAGTATATTAACTTTTACTCATACCCAGAAGAACTTTTCTTATATTATTATTTCATAAATCCTTCACAGTATTTACCATACCACCTTATTTACCATAAGATGCAAATATAACATTTCTAAATTCTTGCCTCACATTCCTGGTGCACTTTTTGACTGTACTGAATAAAAGAATGCAAGGCAAATGCTATTTTTGAGCAATAACCTAACCCAAACTCCTCCAAACAATGGCATGGTTTACCTGTTATTCACTCTGTGGGAAAAAGTTGATTGTCTTGTAATGCCTTCCGACTCCCCCGCCCATCCCCACTCCAGGGTAAATGGTAAGAAAGCAGGCTCCTCATTATTGAAGGCCAGGAAGCATAGACTTGAATGAGACTCATTCAGGGCTCTGTAGCCAAGTAAGCAAGAGAATAACAGTTGCTAATCAATACAAAAATAAACACAAGCAGAAAGCCTGAAGGCATAACATTTGAATAAAATAAATCAGTTTTATTTTTTCCTGGTGAGCAATATAAAAACATTTTCTTTTTCGCAAAAAAAAATAAAAATTAATTGATACTATTCACTGATGATGGCCACTGAATCGTTAACTGTAATCCTCAGCACAGGTAGACTGAATGATAAGTTTGTGTCCCATGATTATATGCATGTAGGAGTAGCATTTGATCTTTTCCGGCAGCATTCGCTATGAAGGATTGTTTACTTCGTTCCTCTAAACTCTTCACCGGCGTCTGCCTGGTGTTACTCATAGCAATGGTGCTTAATAACAGTGAGAGATATTCATCTTTAATTATTTATCAATACAATGCCTGTCTTTGTTGAAAATACAATATATTATCTGTCCTCTTTCAAAATCAAGAGAACTTTTCTGATGCGCTAGTTAAATATTGGAAATCTAAAAACAAGGATTCTGTTACTGGAACTGGAATCTTGTGGACTGAGGATGAGGCTGAAGACTTACAAGTAGGCTTTGTAATATAGAAAAAGTCTGCAGATGTTCTTAGAATCATTACCACCTTCATCTGCCTACAACTGTCAATCCTCAAGTGTTCCTTCAAGCCCGGAAATTAATAGGGGATTAGTACATTAAAGTCCTATGATTTGCTGTCAGAATGAAGGCTCTTAATTATTCAGGTAAATACATGAAAACCCCAGATGTGTCACAACACCTATAGACTGTTATAAATTCATATAATAAGATGTAGCACAATGGTCTTCCAGGGAACGAAAATGCTTGCTTACTATAGTGACCTCCTACCACACGGACTAGTACATTAGTTATAATCCTAATAATCCTAATACTCCTAAAGAAAAGTAGAGGGGAATTAGATTTTTTCCGAATAAGGAATGGCGAGGTTGCTGTAGAAATGGCAATACAGGGCTTGGAAAATTATACATGGAAGAGTAAGGGCATAGGTACAAGAACCAAAACCTAGCATAATCTATGTCATCAGTTGCTGTCAGGTTGGGAACCCTCCATGGATGGTCCATGATTCCTGCTGGGGCTCTCCATTGCTCAGCAGAGATGTACCTTCATGGATC